TGGTCAGAAACTGCTGAATACTCAGTGCGGTGTAGGCAGGTGCACTCATAAATCACTCATCATAAAATGGGAAAACGTGTTGAAAGAATCTCCAAAAAAAATTTCACTGAAGCCAAACACAGCCTCTCACAACAATGCTAGCTGGTACATTGATGCCAATGGGTTCCTAGAATACTTACCTAGTGGGGGAAGCCTGTACTCCAAAGATAATTCTGAGTTTTGGGGGGTCCTTCCTCGTATATCAAGAATCTCCTTTCCTCCAGGAAAAGGCCAAAAAATGGATACTCCCCTAGAGCTTTCAGAAAAGAACACAGCCTTGCTGACACCTTGTTTTCAGTCCAGCAAGACCTATCCCTCAGAACTGTAAGATAATAAACTTGTGTTGTTTTAAGCCACTAAGTTTGTGATAATTTGCTACAGCAACCACAGAAAATGAATAGACTCCTTTGTAAGACTGTTGTGAAGGCTGAAGCAATAATGTCTATAAAATCTCTCTGCCATGCAAATGTGACAGATTTGTATGCCATACAACAAAGACACCTCCTCTGTGAATAGGAAGTCTGGTAGGGGTGGGAAAGGTGGTAGCAGGGACACCAGTGACCATGCAGCAGGATGAGAGCCCCTGGTCGAGGTGGGCACACTTCTTCATGCTCCCACACCAGTTTGCACTTCCTCCCCAGAGCTGTGTTATAATTAGCTGTGATATGTTTGTTAAGCAAGTTTGGATCTCCAAACCTAGCACAACACTGGCACATAGTAGGTGCTCAGTGAAACACTTAAATGAATGCACAGGAGCCAGGGCAAAACAGAGCCTGGGGTCCCCAGGGAATCCACCAAATTGGATATTTGCGCAACTCTCTGTCACCTCTCCTGTTTTCCTCTAGTAGGCCGTCATATTCCAAAGTGCGTTCCACAGAACACAAATGATTCACAAATGATTTTAGTGGGATGTCCCACAGAGGAAGAAAAAAGATCATATAATCAAATTAAGTAGAAAAACACTGCAAGTCCTATCTCCCTCTTATAGAATGAAAATGCATATCAGTATTATAAAGGCACAGAAAAGTTCATTCATGAAGAAAATCGTCTAGCTGATTTACTCCACATTTCCCTGAATAATCCCCTTTTTTGTACAACTATTATAATAAAAGAGGATGTACTTTGGGCATCTTTGCCTTCAGGGAAGTGTTAAGTGACCAGCTGTGACACAGGGGTGGGTGTCCATGCTTGGGCTAGCACAGTGGTTCTCAAATTCCAGTGAGTATCCAAAGCCTCAAAGGCCTTGCCAGAAAGCAGAATGCTGGGCCCACATCCAGGGATTCTGATCCTGTGGAATCAGATGCTGATGCTACTGGTCCATGACCACAAGTTAGGAACTATCGAACCGAATGTTCAAGGGGTCCTATCTTTCCCAACTAGCTTGTGATGGGAGTAATCATCACCAAGACATCTCCAATGGGAAGGGGATCTTGGAAACCAAAGTCAAGATTGCAAATACCGTCGGCCCCACCCCAAGTAGAGATTTCCATTCTTTCCAAACTAAGATTTTTTTTTACGTTATTAGGAAAGGAAGCTGGTTTTTTTTTTGTTTTTTTTTTTTGAGTTGGAGTCTCACTCTGTCACCCAGACTGGAGTGTAGTGGCCGCTCCCGGCCACCGCAGCCTCCACCTGCTGGGCTCCAGCCATCCTTCCGCCTCAGCCTTCCAAGTAGCTGGAACTACAGGTGCACGCTACCACACTCGGCTAATTTTTTGATTTATTGTAGAGATGAGGTCTCACCAAGTTGCCCGGGCGGGTCTCGAACCCGTGGGCTCAGGCAATTCACTCACCTCAGCCTCCCAAAGCGCAGGATTACAGGCTGAGCCACCGAGCCCGGCTGAAGGGAAGCTGTTAAGCATAGATGTATCCTGTTATTTTAAGTCACTAACAACTTCTGAAGAGACAGAGAAGACGGTTTGCTTCTTTTTTTTTGAGTTGGAGTCTCACTCTGTCGCCCAGACTGGAGTGCAGTGGCCGCTCCCAGCCACCACAGCCTTAACCTGCTGCGCTCCGGCGACCCTTCCGCCTCAGCCTTCCAAGTAGCCGGAATTACAGGCATGTGCTACCACGCCTGGCTAATTTTTTGATTTATTGTAGAGATGAGGTCTCGCCAAGTTGCCCAGGTGGGTCGCGAACACTGGGGTCAGGCAATCCGCTCACCTCAGCCTCCCAAAGGCGCGTGATTACAGGCTGAGCCACGGAACCCAGCTGATGGTTTGCTTCTTAAAAGCCTCCCATGGAATGTGACAGGAGGAGTGGTGAGAGGGGTGACTTGGGAACACATTTGTAGGAGGGCAGGCCACCAGATGACAGAGGAGTGGGCATCTCTAGGCAGAAAAGAGATCTCCAGGGGCTGGGTGTGGGCCATATTTGCCCAGAGCTACACTGTCCCTCAGGCCAATGACAGTCACGGTCCCTGGTGCTCTTGGCCCATGTCCCCTGTCATCCTCTTCATTGACTCCCTGCCACCTTTCCTTTATTAATGTGCTGAAGGAACACTTCTCAGCAGTCGAACATAGTAGCTGAGTAGACTGGCTGCTTCTCCTGATAGATTGGCTCTAGCTTTTAAGAGCTACCAAAAATATTAATCATGTCATACGGCATCTTCCTCCCTGAATTATTTTTGCAGTGTTTCTGCAGAGTGCAGGAGCTGGACGTGATTTTGTTCTATGACTGATTCTGTGAACAACCACGCCGGACGCACTAAACGATGTCCTTGTGAGCTTAATCTAACTGCTGCATCAATGACAGAACTCCACTCTGGCCCCACCATTGGTCATTCCACTGCCAGAGTGATCTTCTCAAATTACTCATCTGATTACATCAGCCCCTGCAGAAAACATGCCAATGCATACCCAGGGCTCTTAAGATAAAGACCAGAATCCCAAATAGGGCGTTCTCTGTTCTCCCCACATGCCAACCTTCCTCCAGCTTCTCACACGGGCCTTGTACTTTCCCAGTGTTGTATAAATGAGCCAAAGCTGGCCCCTCGGTTATTTCCTCACCTTAGGCTGAGACCCTTCTGCTCAAAAGCCCGCTGGCATCATACGCCAATATTTCCGCATCCAACTTTTCCCCTTTCCAAGCTGAGAAAGTTTATATCACATTATTAGAAAAGGAAAATATTAAGCATAGATATAACCTGTTATGCTAAGCTGAAGTCACTAACAACTTCTGAAGAGACAGAGAAGATACTTGCTTCTTTAAATCCTCCCAGGAGTGAGTGGTGAAAGGGGTGACGTGTAAAAAACAAGCAGATTTTTAGTCATTTGGGGAGTTTATAGTAAAACGATACCCAGCATCTGCTGACCATTGATAAACTAGAGCTCCAAGCTCCCACTGCCCTCCCAGTGTGCTGACCCAGAGACTCCCCACTGTGCTACTGGGTGATATCATCTTGACATTCTCCAATCCCCCTCTCCTTCGAGAGTTCCCATGCCCTCCTCCTCTTCTGGATGGTGCCCTGTCTGCAGTCCACCATAAGCCTCTGACGGTCTCATGCTGTGAAGACTTCCCCTCTCATGCAACCCTATTCAAGCACTGCCCAATAAAGCTTGCTGTGTTACTGCTTGTTGTGGTCATATCTTGTCCCTTGATCAGTCCCCAAATTCCTCAAATCCCCTATATCAGGTTTAACCACATTGATCTGTATAACTGGGTAGCTCTACATATCTCAGCCCCAACTCTAGGGGAGCCCTGCCCCTTCCTCTCCCTAAGACCAAGTAGAATTACCTTATTACATCCTCTCATAGTTCCATGCACTACTTATTCATTTGCTACAAGTTGCACCAGTTGCCTCAGTTGTAAATTGCTGGGATTAATTTTCTGGGATTATTTGATTATTGTATCCCTTATGATTAGACTGTGACCTACATGACAGCAGGCTCTACCTCAACTTTTCTCACCTTTGTAATCCTGGCACCCAGACCAGCACCTGGCATCAAGTAGACTCTCAATAAATGCTTATGTGTAGAATAAAAGGAGTGAAACGGCGTGACAAGGATCATGTTGACATAACATTTTCCACGTTCCTGTGAAAAACATATGGTCTTTGCTGTGTTGAAGTCTGTTTTGCCCTGTTGGATTCAATCCAGATCAACATACAGCCTTTTCATTTATTTCTTTGTGAGCTTCCTATGGCTCCTGGCTCATTAGTGAGCCCATCTCCGGCCCCTCCATTGGGGTCACTCTATAACCAAAGTGATCTTTTCAAGTCACACATCTGATCACATTAGCCCTAATCCAGTCAGCTTGAGAGCAGAGGCAGACAAAGAACATCATTTTTATCATTGTTTATCATGTTTATCATTTTTATCATGTATAATCTGGAGGGATCGGCAGTAGCAGGATACTGCCAGGGGAGTAGGGGGCATGTGGCAACATAAAGAGTACCTGGTCCTAAACCAGGGGCAGTGAGGACCAGTTGCAGGCCCAAACTTTACCTGCATGTAGATTACTTATGTTCTTAATCCTGACATGTACTCACATCATTATAAAAGGAAAAGTTAAAAAATAAAATAAAAACAAAGATAAGGAAATGTATCGTTTTTCTGCTATTTTCACAGGTGTGAGTGTGCATGATTAAACAGGAATTACAGTAGAAGGTGAAATACAGTTGTCCTTACTGGACCCTCAGCATCCTGTGTGAAATATCATCATCCTATCTAAAGTCCTTTATCACCAGCTTGATTAGTTCACGCAAAACCACATGCATCATCACTGAGTCCATGAACAATGAAAATGAGCCATCAGCTCATAAAATACACAGAAGGAAACAAGGGAAAGGGAGGCAGCTGGCCATGATTCCTTTATTAAGCATTTCCTGAGTTTCCTATCTACTTTGGGCAGACCGGCCCATCCTCCTCCCTGCAGCGCATGGAACTTTCCCTGCCTTTTATGGGATGAAGTGGTCAAAATGTCATCACAGATAACAAATGCAGCAACCATGAAAACATTGGTACCGAAGGAGTGCCCGCAGTCCTGACCCTGCGGGGTGGAGTACTCCAGGCAGCCGGCTCTCTCCTCCAGGGGCGGGCAGGGCGCCCCGCCGTTCTGAGGTTCCTGCTGCACCGAGCGCCTCCGCACGCGGGTGGTTGGCTTGCACTGGTCGGAGCAACCGCTCCAGGGACTCCACTCCCCCACGAAGCACGGGCGAACTGAAAACAGCACAGTTGGGACACTCACCTGAGTAAACCCAGCCAGTCTGCCAGGCTGCTCCCGCCAACACAGTCAAGGTTAGCCCCATGTAAACTTCACCTTGACCAGCCCTGGCATCAGGACACACAAAGCCTCAGCAGGTCCCAGCTGACGTCAACTCCACCCACCTGCCTTGATGGTTAACTGATAACCGGGTATCCCTGAGAAGGAGCTGGATATCCTGGGACCTTAAAGGTGGGTCTGAGCCAGGGACATACACACCCAAGTAAATGAGGTGGATGCCTTCATGGTACTTCCTCATACTCCCAGAGTTGAGATCAGATCTTTGCTTTTGTTTTTCCTTGATGTTAACTTTATCTATCCCTGCCCATAACATTTTTTTTTTTTAGTTGGAGTCTCATTCTGTCACCCAGGTTGGAGGGCAATGGCACACTCACAGCCACCACAAATCTCGAACTGCTGGGCTCAGGTGATCCTTCCACTTCAGCCTTCCAAGTAGCCAGAACTACTGGCATGCACCACCATCCCTGGCTAATTTTTTCATTTATTGTACAGACAAGGTCCCACCATATTGCCCAGGCTGATCTTGAACCGGTGGGCTCAGGCAACCATCTTGTCTCAGCCTCCCAAAGTGCTGGGATTATAGGTGTGAGCCACCACACCCAGCAAACATTTTTTTATTATAACAGTGATACATTCTCATTGTAGAAAGCATAAAAGGAAAAAAAAAGTGTACATACTTCACCCACCAATAATCCCATCACCTATCCAGGTTAATTCTTACCAACAAATGTGACTCCATGAGACACGTGGCTTAGGGTCACACACAGGGACCCTTATGCTTTAGATTCCTTCCTTTTGCTCTATTCTCATTCTCCATGTCTCACAGATCATAAACTGAGAGGTGGAGTTTAGGGATGCACAACCAGGGCCCAGAGAGGTAAAGAGTACTCAGCATGAAAAGGCAGAGTCAGGACAAGCATGTGACCCAGGGTCTTACTCTTCTTACAAATCTATGCTCCTCCACACCTTTGGTCAACTGGTGTCCAGCTGGCCTGTCAGCAGACAGCCGTGCCCTAGGCTGCTCCCCGGAGTTCAGGAATACCACTTAGGATATACCCAATGGTCAAGTCAAGCCCGTCTCTTTCCAGGATTCTGAAGTCCACTGACCAAATCTGAAGATGAAATTTCAAAAGGTAATCTCCTCACCATGACTGTAAAATCAATGTGGCTTCATATTTAAGTTTCCCATTGAAAGTTCTAATGAGTCCTTTAAAAGAACTGTAATGAGTTTTTCAATTGAATTATTTCAGGACTTGAAATTAAATATAGGAAAAGAACAAGAAGACAGAAGATGTGTCTCTGAACTAAATGCCAAACTCTTTTTTTTCTCACGAAATGTGACCAACTTTTTTATGGCCCTCATACTTTCTAGTTCATGGTGTTTTTGACAAGAAAGCACTCTGACTTCTTTGAAAGCTTGATTCAGACTTCTGATAGTTTGTTCTTGAAAACTACCTTGAGCACACTTTAGTTCAGGGTGTATGCTTTTTGGAGGGCAGGTGGTTTGGCAGTACACAGCTACCCCTGACATGGAAAGGGTCACGTGTAGCATAAGCATGCCAGTAATTTAAAAATTCCCATATTGTTTTATTTATTTATTTATCTATTTATTTACTTATTGTTTTGAGTGAGTCTCACTCTGTCTCCCAGGCTGCAGTGTAGTGGCATGATCATGGATCACTGCAGCTTCAACCTTCTAGATTCAGAGGGTCCTTTCGCCATCATGCCCAGCTAATTTTTTTATTTTTATGTTTTGTAGAGACGAGACCTCACCATGTCGCCTAGGCTAGTCTCAAACTCCTGAGTTCAAGCATTCATCTCACCTGGGCCTCCCTAAGTGCTAAGATTACAGACGTGAGCCGGGCTCGGTGGCTCACCCTGTAATCCCGCGCCTTTGGGAGGCTGAGGTGAGTGGATTGCCTGAGCCCGCGGGTTTGAGACCCGCCTGGGCAGCGAGACCTCATCTCTACAATAAAACAAAAAATCAGCCGGGCGTGGTAGCGCGCGCCTGTAATTCCAGCTACTTGGAAGGCTGAGGCGGAAGGATCGCCGGAGCCCAGCAGGTCGAGGCTGCGGTGGCCGGGAGCGGCCACTGCACTCCAGTCTGGGTGACAGAGTGAGACTCCAACTCAAAAAAAAAAAAGATTACAGATGTGAGCCACCGCGCCTGGCCCCTACACTCTTTTAAAACGTACTTTCATTCGTTCGTTAAAAACCCTAAGTATCACATGTTAACTACCTGAAGAAGCAAGAAGGAACCATGTTAGAGTTCATTTCCAATATCTACCATGCATACATCTATTAGAAAATTGGTAACAGGGCATTTCCTGTCTTTGTTATCTCTTGTTGATCCCTCCGTTTTTATTTTTATGACTGTATAATTTCATTGACCTATTGAACCAGAAGTATTTAAAAAGATGCCCTAGGCCATGAGCTGGTTGTGAAGGACTTCTTCTATCTTTAATTTTTTTTGTTTGTTTGTTTTTTGTTTTTTTGCTTTGATTTGCTTTGTTTTGAGTCAGAGTCTCACTCTGTTGCCCAAACTGGATTGCAGTAACACGCTCATGGCCACCATAGCCTTGATCTGCTGGGTTCAGGAAATCCTTTCAGCTCAGTCTTCCAAATAGTTGGAACTACAGGTGTGCGCTACCATATCCGGCTAATTTTTTTATTTATTGTAGAGATGAGGTCTTGCCAAGTTGCCCAGGCTGGTCTAGAACCCTGGACTCAGGCAATCCTCTCATCTTGGCCTCCCAAAGTGCTGGGAATACAGGCATGAGCCACCACACCCGGTCTCTTAATTTTTTCAATACCTTTCTTCCTCCCCAAACCTCTTAATCCCCAAGTCTAGCTAGTCCTGTTGTGATGTGTTGGATTTGAGCAACACTTAATAATATATGCAAAAAATGTACTTCAGGGACTGGCATTTGGGCATCACTATAAAATAAAATTTCCCCATGCATTAACTCAGAATTTGATAATATGACTTTGAGTTAGACTCTGTTGATATGGTAAAAGATGACATTGAGGAGAGTTTTCTGACTGAATTTAGCCTCCCAGAATTTATCATTTGTGTTTCATGTCCAGTATTAGTTTGTTTTATTTGGTTTGGTCCCAAAGTAGAAGTTCTTAAAATTTTAGAATCAATCATTGCAAACCCTACTGGTTAGGGTTTGTCCTTAGTAAAATGCTATTTCCCATTCTTCCATTTTATGACTTTTTAAAAATTTTTAATTAAAAAATTTTTTTTTACATTCTATGACTTTAAAAGCCCCACAAAGAGAATCAGAAAGTTCTAGGGTCCAACATTTCCATGGCTTCATCGTTAGACAAAATGAAAAACATTCACATAGAATTACATGAATAAAAATATTTTGTCTTGCACTTTGGGAGGCGGAGATGAGAGGATTGCCTGAGTCAAGGGGTTCAAGATCAGCCTGGGAAATTTAGTGAGACCTTGTCTCTATAGTAAATAAAAAAATTAGCTGGGCATGGTGGCTCTTACCTGTAGTTCCAGCTACTTGAGGTGGAAGGATTGCCAGAGGCCAGCAGTTCGAGGCTATAGTGGCCGTGAGCGTGGCATCGCACTTCTGGGCAACAGAGTAAGACTTCTGTTCAAAAAAAAATTTTTTGTCTCAGAAGATTAAGCTGAGGTATTTATTCTCATTTTGCACCAAAGATTCTATTCTTGAATAGCTTGTGAACTTTGATTTGGATTGCAAACCATCATAGATCACAAAGGATCTTTGGTCACAGAGGTGAGGAGAAGTACAGGAACTTCTAAAAATTGATCACAAATCATATATTACAGCTGGATGACACAAATTTCCTTTTGAACTATTCTGTTAGTATTCTTGTCCACTTTCCCACTGAAGCTTATCTAATTCACATCTCTATACAGTATATCAAAATATTCTTTCTAGCAATATGACTTTCTCAATCATCATATTTAGCTTCTCACCAGCTGTTAATGCAACTGACAGACTCTTGGCACCTAAGGGAGCAGCATGGTCACCTTTGACTCCAAGTTTGTCATGGCTTTCCAATTGCTTTACTTTTATGATTTGATGAAATCATCCACCCCTTTTAGGGAAAGGAAGCCTAGATTTAATGGGTACCAGGAAGCTTGGTAAACGCATTCTTTTCTTCTTCTTTTTTTGTTTAAATTCAATCTAAAATTCAGATGGAGCTTCCCCAGAAGCAACCCATGAAACATGGATTTGAATGCAAGTAATTTATTTAGAAGGTGACCCCAAGAAGCACCATAAGGGAGTGGGGAATAGAGACAGAGAAGCAGACATAAAAGAGAACACAGACATGAAATAGACATCTAAGTTCCTACTGTAGGTCTAGTGGGCACCTGGGCTCTTAGCTCCTGTGAGAATAATATAATGGAGATAGATCCAGAGATTTTTAGTTATCAGATGTCCCTGTCACAGCCAAAGAAGAATGGCCAAAAACTAAAAAAGCAAGTTATATATTTCAGTAACAAATCTGCACACAAGATAGTGTTCATTTTCACACATCCTAACAGGGAAAGCCAGTCATATTTAAGTATTACACAATTACCTCAAAGGATGTAGTACTGATTTTTTAAAATAAAATTAATGACTTATTAAACATTCTTATTTTGTTGGGATTTTATTTGATATCTAAACTCCCTGCTGTGACTTACAACGTCCTGCGTGACCTGGCCTCTGCCTGATCCTCCACTCCTAGCTGAAGTCCTCCACCCCCGACTCTGCTCCAGGTTCCAGCCACATTGGCCTCTCTTCCCCATAAACACACCAAGCTCTTTTCCATCCTGGGACCTTTGCACATGTTTTCACTCTACTGGGGATGTTCTCCCCACACTGGGCATGACTGGGTCCTACTCACCCTTTAGGTCCCAGATGAACTGTTTGCTCCTCGGGGAGTCCTTTTTCTGGCCAGCTTT